GATGAGGCATATTGAAAACTATATTAAATTACCCTGATTAACAATTTAGCCACGAACAGGGGAGCTTTGGGAGATCTCTATAGGCAGGACTGGGGGCTATTCATGCCAGCAGCTAAGAGGTCGAAAGGTTTCTGAAGTTCACAGGCTCAGAGCCTTTGTTATGCTAACAGACAATCTCAAATCAGCTGCCTAGTGGAGTGTGAAATATAAATGATTCCTTGAGAACTTCCAATAAGTTGTCACTCTTGCTCTCCAAATACCAGGACAGGCTGCTAATTTCTAGCGGGCCCTTTTGCAACATTGCTAGCCCTAAATGAATGCCTTTGTAGTTCAAATAATCTTTTCAAGGGAGCTGTCCTATCATCATAGCCCAAATGCATCTTGGTTTTGACTATTAAATGAAAATCAGGGCTCAACTGTGCTTGACTTTTCCAATCACCCGATGTTTGGGAAGGATGGTGGCAGCTCTCATGCACAACAAGTTAGCACCCACTGCAGGAGGGCCAGGGCATTAATAACAGCCCACAGCCCCCAGCTACCCCAACTCTCACCCCCACTCCCTACTGGGAACAAAGCTCCAGGAGAGATTTACGTGGCTTCCCTTGGGCTGGACTACCTTCCTCTTTCAACCACACCAACATTTCTTTAATTTATGGACCCTCTATGCAAGAGGATAGCCAGCTGACCTGCTAGCATCTGACTGGTCACTTCGAAGCATCAACTTTGGGGATGGATGTATTCATTCTTCAGGGCAGATGAGAGGTCAAGGGGAAGAGGGCGAGGTGTGTGTCCAGGCCATGCCCCTAGTATCAGATGCCTGTGGATATTATTTTATCATTTTCCCATGAGAAGGATGTGAACATGGCTTATGATCTTGAGGGTGACCTTTGAGCAGGTCCCGATGGATAGAAAACCAGCCTTGGCTCTCGGAGTTAAAATTGCAAAGCTTTTAAAATAAGGAAAAGCACCCCCATTCTAAATCTCAAACAAGCCGAGAGGAGTGAGAGTGAGAATCCATCAGGGAGAGTGTGCTCAAACCTTCTTATAGAAAGGACAGTGCAATTTATACAGATAAAGAAAACATATAGACAAGAGGACAGAAACGAAAGGAAATTAGAACTCCATCTGCATCAGCCTTCACAAAGGAAAGGATAAAACCTTACAGCAATAACTTGGGTCCTGAAAATTTTGATATTTTGGACTCCATGACCTCCACTTCCTTTCTGAAATATAAAAAGGTCCATGATATCACAGAAGCCTCAGCTTTTTCCAAACAGAGCAGTTTTGATTTTTGAGGCAAGGAATGGGAAAAAATCAAATGGACTACATTTCTTAGTATATAATTAGGGTAAGTTTACATTGACATAAACAATATTTTAAAATACATCATTAAGTAACTTTATGAAGCTGGATGATACAGCCATACAGAAAAACCGAGGGCCTTGGTTTCTCGTCATCTTATTGTTCTTCTAATTACAATGATTTAAAATGATTACATCAAAAATATTCTGGGGAAGTTAGTTTCTACTGGTATAGAAACTGATTTAAGTAAACACTTCTTTGTACTCTAGGTCTACTAAAACTTCTGACTATATATTAAAACATGAATTAGATATAAATAAGAATGGTGGCATAACTTTCATCAGTTTTGAAATCATGTAGCTTACCTTTTAAAATCTTTTTTAAAAAGCCAGGGTAGACAGTACAATTGTGAAGGACTCTGGGATTCAACTCAGAGAATTTGGTCCTTAGACTAGGAGCCAGTGTTTAAGAATCAGGTCATCTTTGTCTTTCAAATTCTTATTTGTTTCACTCAGTAAAACAATCTGCAAATAATATTGCCTAGGAAAATTAGTTCAGATTACTGACATTACAGGAGTAAAAGTTTATGGTTTCTTCTGCCAAATGTCAAAATTAAACAATAATGTATTATTGATCCACTCACACCCTTCTCAGGGAGACTTAGCATCCTTGTTATCCTTATTTTATAGACAGTAAAGTGACTGGCTTTGGATGCACTTCTAATTATGCAAAATAGAAGGCAACATTGATAGCTAAAAGTTCAGCACATGAGAGACAATGTGCCTAAATTTAACTTTTCATCTCTTTTCCATTTTTTAAAATTTAATTAATATTAAATGGTAGAGTATCTACACATTATTGACACATTCTAGACATTCAAAGGAGAAATACTTTCCCTGTGCTTTCCAAATACTTATTTTACCACTTCGAAGTGTCCTCTCTCTTTCCGTCTTTAACACATCAAAACAGGGAAGAAAGCGCTTTTGTGTTATAACTACAGAGAAAACATTTGAGAATGTGTCAATGCACTGAATACCAGCACCAGTTTGGGGGTTGGTTTGTTTTTTTCCCCCTGCCGTGGTATTTCTTTTCCCTCTGCTTTTGCAGTCTTTAAACTCTGACCACTTTGAGAAAAGCAATGGTTGAAATGAAAAGTTAGGACAAATTGCATTAAACCTGTGTGTTGCCAGAATATGAGCGTGATGAAAGCAGGGTTGGGACATTATGGAGCCATAGCAGCTCTCCACACACAGAAAATTAAAATAAAATAAAACATAAAAGCTGTTTTTTTCCTCTCTCTCTCTCTCTTTCTTAAATACCCATGATCTAAGAGAAAGGGAATTCCTCTTTTAAAAAAAGTTTCCAGGGTTGCCATTTCTCCATAGTGGGGGTGTCTGAATGCATGTGTTTATGTGCATGCATGTGAGTATGTGTTTGGGGAGAAAAGAAAGAATGGGGAGGAGGAAGGGCAGATAACTTTACTGACATATTAATTCTTTAGATAGCAGTAAATGAATGGTCCAAATAGACATTTGTTTCCCTTAATAAGTTTTGTACAGGTCTCTTACAAGCTGTAGCATATGCTTCATTTATATGTATATTTATTTAGAAGTTTAGAGAATAATAGCTGTAGTTTGGCTATAGTAGCAGTTATTATTTAAAGTCCAAAGAGGTTACAACTTTTCTGCTACTCTAAACATGAATACAAAGGTCTCTTGTATATGCCTCTTGCTTTATGTTGAGGGCCAATTAAAAATAAAGATAATATTCTAACTGTCGAGCCTTAGGAGGCGAAAGAATGAGGCTAAAAGGCAAAACGACTCCAAGATGGCTGCCTCTTCCTTCTTCCCCCTCCTTACTGCCTGTTTTCCACATGAAAATTAATGTAATATTTTGTTTAGAAATCACATTGTAGGTCATTTGCAAATGAGGCAGCCTCTGAGGCACCAACATCTGCCTAGAATACCCTCATGATGCCATCGAGGTATGGAAAGGGATTAAAATGCAAACATTCAAATGTATTTAGGTTTGTACATAGTGACTAGACTCACACACATACACACTTGAATGTGTGAACAACACACACAGCTGCAAATGGAATAAAAGGCCAAAATCCTTCTTAATTCTTAGGACAGAAGGGCAAAGGAAGGCGCCAGGCCACCACCTTTCTCCCCAAAGGTTAGAAAATGCACTGTTCATGGTCTGGATTCGATGTTTTAAAAAAGATATATCTTACTGATGACTCTCTCATTAGCCAGACTTCTGAAGTCTGGGGAGATAAGATTTCCATAAATTATCTCTCTAACTCATCTCATGCTGGTGCAAAATGCAAAGCTAAATTTTTTAAATTGTTAATATTTTTTAAAAAAGAGAAAATACTAAGCTAACCGTTTCCTGACAAACAGGTTAAAAGATTAAGATCACTAGTAATTATTACTATTAATTATAATAAATATATTTTTATCATAAAATTCCACCCATTAAGCTAAACTAAAAATCATGTAGGAAATAAATAAAAGCATATTTGGCTCTTTCTAATAGATTTATAGCAGGTTACTGAGCAGATTTGACTGCACTAGGCAAAGAACAAAGCAAATGGTTTAGTTCCTACAGGAAATATATTAAAAAGAAAAAAAAGGAAAAAACCCCACAACCCTTTATCTAAAAGCCATCAGGGACAAGCACTCAATACAAGTTAACAAGCAGGAACTGATAAGATAACATTTATATGAGGTCAGAAGTCAAATGCCAGTCAAAGGCTTTTAACCTCTTGGGTCATAAACAGGAATAGTTAAAAGTGAGAGGTAGTTATTTATCGGATTTTAAGGGTACCTGATCATTGCCAGAGAATCACCGATAATGAAACTAATTGGGATTTATAGAAAAAGAACTTTGTAGCTGTTCAAAGAAAATTAACCTACAAACCCACAATTCTTCAATTGGTAGGGAGAAAAACAAACAAAAAATCCCTCTTTGGGGAGAGAAATAAATCTGGCAGTATAAATAGTAACAAAATCTCTCTCAAAATCAATAATTTATGACTAATGTACATATCGATTAATATATAGTAAATAATTTTTAAAATAAATTCTGTATTAACAATCTAACAACAAAAATAAGCATTACATAAGGTATTTCCAAGTTTTGTTCTTTTTCTTTGTTCCTTTTCAGACCCTCTAAATTAGACAGAATATAACTCCAATATCACAATATTTCTTGCCCTCAGAATGCCATCATTTATAAATTTCAATATATATATATATTCTAATAGCAATTATTTTTAAACATTGGAATATTGAAACTGCTTAATTAAATTTTTATCTTAATCTATCCAGAGAAACAGATGTCTCTTTTATTTGCTGTCAGAATATTTTTTCTTTGTTTTGATTTTTGTCCTTTTTGTCTCTTTTTAGGTTTACATTCCAAACTCCCAATCGTTCCTGGTCTCTGCATCCATGCTGGTTCATATTTTCAAAGCATACCCACCCCTCTTTTTTCTTTTGCAATAAAAGAAAGCAGATCTAGATATTTCTTTCTAGAGAGAGATAGAGGGATTGTTGTTAGGCCTGCTAAGGCCCACTGTTTCTTTAAACAGAGTCCATAATACCCTAGGCGAACATTGTGGATTTAAAATGCTTTTAAATATTTATCACTAGTATTTTATCATCATATTCAAATGACACCTGGAGTGCACTCACCTTTATTGACAATCTCTGTTCTGAAAGTCCATTTGCTTCCTTAAAGCCCCCCAAGCAGAACAAGGACTACCCGTTTTCATTCAGTTAATGTTTAGTAAAAAACCAAGCAACCTTAATCAGCATGCTGATTGCATCGTCAACTAACAAATAATTTACTACTCTGAGCATTGCATTCCATTAAAAGCTCATTAAATTTTCTGTTCTCCAATGGGAGGTTTAGCTTTTGAACTGCATGCTTTTGCTTCGAATGATCATTTATTCAATCTTTGCAAAATGTTGTGGTTTTTTTTTTCCTAAAGTATAGGTGAGCATTTCAATACCTATAGGTTGCAAACATATGGAAACACAGCCCAGAATTGGAGAATGTTCAATTTGATTTATAAACTCTGTTTAATAAAAATTCAACACAATCTCTTGTACTTTTAGCAAATTCAGAAATAGTTGAGTATATCTGTGGTTATATGCGATCCAAACATAGTCTCAGAAATATGAATACATAATATAAAATATCAAATCCTTTTTTTATGCTTAAATTTTTCTTTTCTGCCTGTTATAACTATAATTATTTTTATCCTTGTAAATAGTTGTTTTCCACTGATTGAAAAAGGGGCATGATACCACAAAGCTCTTACCCTATTTGATGCCATACTTAATACTTTTGGGGGGGGTGTGGGCAGTGGCTGGTTACCCAAAGAAACCACATTTTCTGGGGTTTGCACATTTTTTACAAACTCATAATCCCCTGAATTGTTTTCATGTCCAGACTTGTCTAGGAAAGAATGTATTTATTATTTTTAACTTAGGGAAATGTAAGAAAATATCAGGCCCCCAAATTAACATGCATCTTTGGATTGCTAATTGTGCTCATTGCAAATTTGGGTCATTTTGCATGAGTGACTCTAATGTAGGGCTGAGATTGCCACGCAGCCAGCGCAGTGGATTCCTGATTCCCCGTGCTAATCCTGAACTCCGTGATTGCGTCAGGTGCAGTTCTGTATGCTCTAGCAGCTGGCTCATCCTCATCAATGCAAATAAGGCAACTCCTACAATCAGAGCCTCGCGAGTGTGAGGCCTGATTGCTGAGGGCAGGCTAAAACACTACACAGACTCTCACTTTCAAATCCCACTAAGTGACAAGACAACTGCAATGTCCCTCCAGTTCAAAATCAACCTTTCGAAAACAAAACAAGAAGAAAGGGATGGCTACAAAGAGGAGAAAAATCCCAATGTTTGGGAAGTGGACTCGTTTAGATGGGTTTTATTTAGATACAGAGATAATGTAAAGTGCATTTCAACACATAATTATTTAGCTCCTATTCTGTGCAAGATACTTTGCTTTAAGAGCTGCAGGGGATACAAAGGTGAGGAAGAACACACTTCCAGCTTCCAAGGAACCCTATCACTTGATTGCAGAAAATGGTAAAGATTAAGATAATAGTAGAACTATTATTAAGGAGCAGTCACCAAAATCATAAATGAAAACCAGAAAACATACTTTTAAGGGAAGTATTTAGAGATGGCATATTTGTGGCATAGACGTTATAAGCAAGACTTTGGAAGCTTGGGGTTCAAATCCCAGCTTTGCCACTTACTTGCTCAAGTTACTTTGCCTTTCTAAACTGTAATGTCATCATCTGCAAAATGGTGGCAACACAAGCACCTAGCTCAGAGATCGTGAAGAATGAAATGAGATTATGTAAATAACAACTTACCACAGTGCTTGGCACATAGTAAGTGCTCAATAATGTCAGCTATGATTATTATTATTTCCTTCTTAACACACAAAGAAGGATGGGATCCAAAAATAACAGTGTGCCACAGTTTGAAAGGCATTTATTTGATCTTGTCTCTAAATTCCCATTTTACATGTAGCACTTACCCGGTGGAAGTGAAAATACAGTGAACGCTAAAAAGCCCTGTGTCTCTCGGTGGTGTCTGGACAACCCTGGCAACTCGGAACATGAAGGAGAGAACAAGAATTCCCTGTGCTTTTCCTTTTCTTCTTTTCCAAACACGTGTGCAGACTTCCCCTGCATTTCAGCCCCACCCTCTTTATTTTACTGCCTAATCTATAAAGGAGGATTAACAGCAGCACGCTGCTTTGGCATAGAGCAGATTCTGGGTGAGGACCTGTAGGTAGAGTTTAATGAATACAATTTTCTAGGACTGTGAGTGCATATTTTTAGCTCCATGCTGGGCTTCAGCGTTGGTTCTTGAGACAGATGAACAGACCCTTTGATCAGACTTGGGTGTCGCTCCAAGAAGAACCTTTTCTCAGAAAGTCGTTAGGAAAAAAAAAAAAAAAAAATTGTCTTCTGTTGCCCTTATTCCTAATGTGCACTCTATAGATTCAGATTCCAGATAACTGGTCCTGATTTCAGTAAATTAATTGCATTGCAATATTGAGTTACACCATTGCGGAAAGAAAAAGTACTCCTGGGCAGGAACAGATCCACTTTCTCACGAAAGAGAATGGCTGGTGCTCAAGTGTGTGGTTGCCATCCTTTCCCTTTTGAGAGTAGGGTAGAGGTAGTTAACCTTCCTGGGGGAGGTTTGGCCTAGACAACATCATAGACACTATATCCCCCCTGGAGTTACCAAACAATAAAACTGCTTCCTTTGCCAAACACAAAGAATGGTCTGGAGTTGGATATTAGCAAACAGCAAACCACATAAAGAAGACAAAAAAAAAAGGAGAGAGGGAGAAGGAAGAAAAGAATAGGAAGAAGGATGGAAGAAAGGAAGTAAAATTACATAAAGAGGAAAGCATAAAATAACATCTCTTTTCTGCTTTAGCTTGCCAGAGAAAGAGGGCAGCCATCCAGTTTTGTCATGATTTTAGCTAGTGCCAGGCAAGGATGGAAAGGTGGAGAAGAAGGGATTTTGATATAATGCCAAGCAGGTCAGGGATGAGGCACCGGGTCTTTGGAAATAGCTGAGACTTTAATACCTTGGCATTGGGAGAGTGTGCACAAGATGGGGAAGGATTTGATCTTTTGCATTCCTGCTCAGGACCCTCTCCTTCTCAATCTAATAGGATTAACAGATATTTTCCTAAGCAGAAATCAAAATGTGTCAAATCATCTGAGGCAGTCAATTTGTTCACAATGCCCACGTTCTTACAGTACAGATGCAGCACTATTCAAAAACAGTTTCATTTCAAGAGATACAAAGCAGCAGAGATGTAAACATTTATCTTCATAATCTTACCCTCCTTTCAGACTGCTTAATTTTTCCCAGTGATTTTCCCCTCCTCTTTCACTCTCCCCGCCTCACCCCCCGCCCCAGCTCAAGCTTCAAAACATCTAGTACAAAAAAGACATGACTTCCCCAGAGGATTCGGGTCTCAGTGATCCTGATGATGCAATGTGTGCTCTCCATTATTCCTAGAAGCTCACTGGATATGTTCCTGTATCCCGCCTCACAGCTTCAGTTGTCCTTATTTTTGCATCCCTTACAAATCCTCCTTGAACACCTGCAAAGGTTACTTCCACCTCTTCCTCCCACCTCATTCCAAGTTATCAGAACTCCTTCCCCACCTTTGCCACCCCACCTCTACACTCTTTTTTTAAAATTATTATTATTGCTATTATTATCCTCTCCACCAGCACAGTCCATGTGGTTTCTCCTTAGGGAGGTATTAAGTTGCCTTCCCTTGTGCTACCTTAAAACCGTTTGTCCTCTTCCAGCTAATTTTGAACACAACAGACCACTGTCACCTTTGGAAGAATGAATGAAAGTAGTTAGAGTAGGATTCCAACTTCACATTGTTGGCATTCCTGAAAATCTCATGCATTTTCATTGCCCCCTCCCCACTTCCCTTCTTTCTCATTGAGACCCCATAGCAGCAATTAGGAGCTCTGAAATGAATAGAAACAATAGCTACCAGTGTGTGTTATTCTTAAAACTTGAATAGTAGACATTTAGCAAGCAGAATAAAGGCCGATTTTATTCCTCTTTCTTATCACTTGTATATTCAGTATACATATATAGTTTTTTAAAAAGTAGATTACTGGCTGGGTGCGGTGGCTCACACCTATAATCCCAGCACTTTGGGAGACTGAGGTGGGCGGATCATGAGGTCAAGAGATCAAGACCATGCTGGCCAACAGGATGAAGCCCCGTCTCTACTAAAACTACAAAAATTAGCAGGGCATGGTGGTGCATGCCTGTAGTCCCAGCTACTAGGGAGGCTGAGTCAGGAGAATCGCTTGAACCCAGGAGGCGGAGGTTGCAGTGAGTGGAGATCACGCCACTGCTCTCCAGCCTGGGTGACAGAGCGACATTCCATTCCCCCCCTAAAAAAAGTGGATTACTGACTATAATCTCTATAACAACATATTTTTCACTGATATATTTTGGGTGTCTATTACACCATAATTCTCCATGTGATCGTGGTGTCAAAATATGATGAACTGGTCCATTCTCCCTAGAGAGTCCTCTCTACCATTTTTCCTTCCCACCTGTTGAAACCCTACCCATTCTGTAGGATCCAACTTACAGCACATCTCCTCTAGGAAATTTCCCCAGATCCTCCCAGAAGAGTCATTCTCCCTCCCCCAGGGCTCCTAGTGAGGACGTTTATGTCTTTCCTGTCTCACCCACTGGAGTTGGTTTTGTATTCTGGCCACTGTTGATGTCTGTCTGCACCCAGACCAGGAGGCCTGGAGCACAAAGAACTTATCTGTCCTTCTGGTTTCTCTGTCACTCCTACAAGAGGGCCTGGCACAGCAGAGTGACTCTATCAACTGAAGATGATGTGCGTATGTATGATATCTCAGCTTTCTGAGCCTGAGAAAAGGCCACTAGTACCTGTTTTGAGCATGTCTGGATGAGGGAGATGTCAAGCCACTCCTGGCCCTCTTCTCCCACCTCATTCCCACTTACACATGACAATGATTTTGAGGCTTCCTCCCATTAGAATTTTTAATATTTTTTTCATCTAAATGCTCATCTTTAGTAAATATGTAACTAGATGAATTGTGAAGTGAGAGAATTAAAAAGTGCTATCTTATATCTGAATGAATAAATCATTTATATTAGCTCTTCTCTTTCTAGGCTAGTCTGGAATTGGCAACAAATACCTAAGCATCAGTACTCTTTGACATAGTGTATTCATTTATTTTTATTTTTTAAGCAGTCTGACAAGTTATTTACTGTGTCAATTAGCATTGGCCTGAAAAGGAGTTGTTGTGCTACATGTGTTTATGTTCAGCTTTTGAGTTGTCCTGATAATTCTGGCTTTTATTTGTACAGGTATTTATCTTGAAAGAATCACCACCACCACCACAAAAACCCTACCTCATATTTTAACATTTTCTTAGAACCATACCTTGTTTGCAACCCCATCATTTCAGTATTAAATTTTTTCTCCTGATAAGGCAAATGACACTTTAGCCTTAGTTAATGTAAAACAGGAAGGTGTTAATCTCATTTTCAACATGTCAGCTCTTCCAGGTAGGGTATTAATACGCAAGATCCCCTGCTGGCAGCCTCAACAGAATCTTTCCAGCTGTGAAGTGAAGTCCAAACCTGGTAATTTTTGCTTTCTTTTATTGTTTGTGCTCAGGTCTGCTTCATTCATTGAAAAAGGTATAGCAGTAGCTAAATGCATATAAAGAAACAAAGGGATGTTTGCAAACTATTGACTTAACTCTGTACTCAGACACTAAGCTAGGTTTGTTTTAAAATATTCACACACTACAAACATTTGGGTATGTTTGATGATAAATAGCAACTAGGTAAGACATATTTGAAAGATCCCCAGAGATCTATAATTTTGCATCAGAGAACTCCAGTCCAGTGTCACCAATAGCTTTGTTTAATTTGCTTTCTTTAAAGCAATAATCTGGACTAAACAAGGAACAGTAGGGGCTATGTTGTAGGAAGTATTTTGGGATCCTTATCTAACAAAAAAATTATATTCTCAAAGTAATGTGGGAACCAAACTTTCAATTTTTATTTTTTCTTCACATTGTAGATATGAAAGGAAAAAAATGTTTTCATAGTACTGAGTTGGTGTGGACAGTGTGAAGGAGATATTTTTCCTACAGAAATTTTTAGGAGTTTGGGGAATTGGTTCTGCTTTTCCTACTCTATTTCTATAAACACTAAAGGTGTTTTTGTAGGGGCAATTTCAAAACAGGGCAGTTAGAGCAAAGAGGAAATCAGTAACTATAGTGAATATATAAGAATATTAAAATTAAGCTTTCTATTTGTAAATATGATTAATAACAAAGGTTAATTTTTAAAAATATGATGTAAATATGATTAATAGGTTTTAAAGAAAATTTCACATGGTTCCAATTTAAGAAAGAATTAGAATAGGCATTTTAATTTCATACAGGAATGGAATTATATGTGGCTTTAAAAAATTATTGCTAAATAGACTGTAAATACTGATAAGCTATTTGTTCATTTGAGCTAAAAACAGGAAAGAATGAGAAAAAATAAAATGGGATGGCAGCACAGACAAACAAAATAATATTTACGGGGTGGGCAAGTAAGAGGATGTGGCCATAGAAAAGCATGAAAGGACCTGGGCCCTGGAGGCATGCAACTAGTCTTGTACCTAGTTGAGGAGAGGTTTGAGAGGAGAGAGAGAGATGATGCCACTGAAGAGGTTAATTTTTGCACATGTCCTCCCACTTGCTATTCACATATTCCTGTTTCATAGTTGAGACAGGTATTATTATGCCCACTATACAGATAAAGAGACACACATGCAGAGAAGTTGAGGTTCCTCTGACATAGAGAGTTACATGCCAGCCCCAGCCTAGCCCTGTGATTCTTCTCCTTTTTTTTTTTCTTTCTTTTTTTTAAGGATAGGATGAGAGCTTAAAAACTGCGAAAGGGAGGGAAAAAAGATGAACCAAAAATATGTGAAAATTTTTAAAAAGAGTCACTGAGGAATTCTGAGCTGTCAAATATATCCAGAAAAATAAGGCAGGGAAAAAGTGAGATTATAGGGTTTTGAAAAATTCCTGTTCAAGTTCGTAATATGCACAGTGCTTCTTTTAATTCATCTCCTGTCTGTACGTATTTTCCCACACACCATTCTGTAGTTATAGAATTAATTCCCTTGCCCACTGGGTCAGTATTTTATTACTTTACTGGTTTCTTTTTGTAATAGCTTTTTTATACTCCTTGCCAGTGAAAGTATACCCCCAGAAGAAGAGGACGACCAAAGGAAGGAAAAGGTGGGCAGGAAAGGCCTGGCAAGCAAGGTCACTGTTAGAGCCACATCTCGATTGTTCCATTTCCCCAGTGGGCACTATTACACATTTCCCCTTAAGCATGAGGCCATGTTATTTTCTGTGTTTAGCTTTTACCTAGAACATGGATGAGCTCATCTGAAAATATAACAGAATTAAATTCTATCATTGCTCATTGCAACCACGTAGCTGATATTTTATGTATTGCATCTTAAATCTCCTTCTGGAAGTGTAACAGAGTTATAACCTGTATAATTTGTACCATTGTTGACATTTTTATCTTCTTCGAAAACAATTTAGTACAACTTTAACTGAAGATCTTAAGCCTCACAGGTTAGTGGGCTTGGAGCAGGATGTGGAAATAATGGGAGAAAACCACTCATCAAAGTAGTTAAATGACTTGAACTCGATCACACAATTGGCTGAGTGTGGATTGAGAACCTCGAGTTTTATTTTAGGCTCTGGATTTTACCACATTGCCTTTCAAATTCATTTCAGCAGGACACGGTGGCTCATGCCTGTAATCTCAGCACTTTGGGAGGCCAAGACGGGTGGATTACCTAAGGTCAGGAGTTCTAGACCAGCCTGGCCAACATGGTGAAACCCCATCTCTACTACCAATACAGAAATTAGCTGAGCATGGTGGCAGGTGACTGTATCCCAGCTACTCAGGAGACTGAGGCAGGAGAATCACTTGAACCGGGGAGGCAGAGGTTGCTGTGAGCCAAGATCACACCACTGCACTCCAGCCTGGGCAAAAGAGTGAGACTCTGTCAAAAATAAATAAATAAATAAATTCATTTCAGTCAGTGTTTATTGATCACTTGCCATGTGTTAAATGCTATAGATAATTGCATTAGAATTCCCCACCCATGAGCTTATTCTTTTATTAGGGTATGTCCAAACAGGTCTAGAAGAAAAATTTTAAAACATCTTTCGCAGGAAGAGACATTTCTAAGTCAAAACATTCATTTCCCCCCCAACACAAAACCCCAACATATAATTATGCAACAATATAGATGAGAGAAATCTTTAGCTACAAGTAGTGAAAAACAGTCAATACTACAAAACTATTGGCCTTATTTGTATGTCTGCCAAAATAAGTAAGAACACAGGCAGTGAAACAAAAACTTGACTACTAAAGTACCTTCCTCACTCGAAGCTACCATCTCCAAATATTCTCCGAGTCAACCAACAAGTATCAAGTACTCATTTCCTGTCAGGCACTGGATTAGAGATCTGAGAATGAACAAAACAGATGTAATTCCTACCGTATTGAATGAAATAATTTGAATATCTTTTCTACTTTCAAAATATAAGCTAATATACTTTCCAGCCATTCATATTTTAGTAAGAATTACTTTAGATGAATAATCAATTTTCTTGGTTCTCTGTTATGGGAGTTAGCAAGAGCTCAGTTTTATTGTTCATGGTGAGGTTGCAGGGCTGAAAACAGAGAAATAACAATAAAAAAGTGAGAGGTCATTTTAGAACATGGAGAATCTGGGGAGTGTGTCCCAGAATGCAATGCCAACAAATATCGAGTACTCATTTCCTGTCAGGCACTAGATTAGAGAACTGAGAATTCCAAGGAATGATGCCACCATGAAAAGCTCATGGTTACCTTAGGGGTTTGGGTGTCTAGAGAAAAGTAGGAGAGGAGTGACCAAGGAAAACATTGTGTTCTTATTGCCTAAGGATCTTGGTGTCCAATTCATTGTTCCAGGAATCTGTGAACTTAGAAACCTTATTAAAGAATTTGGATTTTTCCCCCCCGCACAAACGGAACACTTTTTTTTTTTTTTTTGGATAGGAAGTAGGATTTATTGTTTGGC